GACTGCAGCCCACCACAGTGGGTCATGGCGTGGGCAGATCGCTTTAACGCTGTACTTGACGAAGACATGTTCGAGGGTGTCCTCAAGAACTTTATGCAACTGACGTACAGCATTTGCGACATCCAGGGCCCAAGACGTACTGAAATGGGGCCCCCTGCCACAACCCCCCGGTTCAATTAGAAGCCAGCGAAATTGAATGCCTATACCGGACAAAAACGTGCATTTGATTGGATCATCGGTGGCGACTCCCGCTTCTGCCAGGTGGACTCCGTAAGTATACACCAGCACTTCAAGGGCATCAACGAGGTCCATCCCCTCGCCAACACTACTCCAGTTCCCACCAAGCCGGACCAAGCCCCAGCCACAACAGATTTAATCAATGTCCTATTCACCCCAGAGGAAGTTGCCACCTGCATCGCAAAGGGGCATAACACCGCACCAGGCCCAGATAAAGTCTGCTACCTGCACTGGCAGAGGGTAGACCCAAGTGGCATTATTCTATCAGCCATATTCAACGTGGTACAAAGGATAGGGTATGTCCCACAAGACTGGCGCAAGTCCACCACTGTCCTAATCCACATGAAAAAAGATCAACTACACCTGAAGAATTGGCAACCTATATGCCTCTCCAACACCCTTCGGAAACTCTACACTGCGTGCGTAGCAGATAGACTCCTCAAGTGGTGTGATGCAAACAATAGAATCTCCACATCCCAAAAGGGCTTCCTGCATTATCAGGGCTGTGTTGAACATAACTTTTTACTCAAGTCTATCATACAGGACGCCAGACGCTCCCGCAAAGAGTGCTTTATTGTGTGGTTAGATATTGCCAACGCATTTGGTAGTATATCTCACGCAATAATATGGGAGTCCCTTAAATGGCATGGGGGCTACACCCCAATGCCATTTCTACCATCCAACTACTTTACAACAACTCCGTCACCAGAATCCGCACCTGTACTGGCTTCACTGAGCCAATTGTGATGCTTTCTGGTGTTAGGCAGGGCTGCCCTATTAGCCCTCTTTTTTTTATTCTAACTGTGGAACCAGCACTTTGCCGCCTCCAAGCCCTTGGCACATGGTACAGCATCCATAACCACACCGTTGACGCCCTTGCCTACGCAGACAACATCGCCCTGGTGAGCAGGAGCAGCTGGACTCCATCGCCGCCTGGACCGGTTGGGCCAGGATCAAGTTCAACCACGCTAAGTGCGGCACCCTTGCCGTCTTAGGTAAGTCGCACACCTTAAGCAATAATATTTTCTCCCTCAGCCAAGAAGATCTTCCAAGGCTCGGAAACGAAGACGCCTATAAGCATCTGGGTATCCCTACTGGGTTGTCAAGGTGTGACACTGAGGCCACCACCACTGACAGCGTGATCCAGGACATAATCAAAGTCGATGCATCCCATGTTGCACCATGGCAGAAGGTTGACGCACTGAATACATTCATAATGCCGAGGCTCACCTTCTGCCTCACCACAGGCACAGCCCCAAAAAAGACCCTGGACAGAATTGATAGAACCCTAAAGCGCCACGTTAAGCGTTGGCTCAGCGTCCCTCAACGTGCCAGTGCTGAAATAGTTTATCTATCGTACAAACAAGGGGGCGCCAATGTTACTTCCTCAAGTCTCCTAGCAAACATTGTCCAGGTGTGCCACGCTATGCACCTGTTCAACTCAAGAGATGACATCATCAATATAGTGCTAGGGCCCTAAAGGATGTAGTAACATCCAGAATCAAACGTCTGGCCAACATCGAGGACATTGCCAGTATCTGGATGGCTCCATGGAGGGTGATCTTGATAATCCATCGAAGGACATCACCTCCATGTGGACCCGCCTCAGAATGGCAGCCAGGCGACTACGGAAGCGGATAAATATCAACAGGAAGTGGTATCCTGTTAATTGACAACTTTGATAATAAACTGTTCGTTCCTCGTAGTTTGGTTGTAATACTTTGTCTTACACATTCTAAACTGTCACACAAGCTTCGTCCAACAGAATATAATTGAGTGCCTTGTATACAGTAAAGATGTACAAAGATTTTTTGATTGATTCAGAGATCGAGAATATAGTACATGAAGATGTTTCTTCGGAAGAAGAATGTGACTTTGTAGAAGATATATTAAAGAACACAGATGCCGAGCAAGAGGAAAACGAAGATATATTAGAAGTTTGCACACCTACAGTTGACTCGTCATCTCAAGTTGGAGCCTCGTCATCACAAATAGGTGAGCATTGTTCTTTCCTAGCTCGCGATGGGACCAGATGGAGTATGTAGGAATATCCTGCAACAAAGACAAGAAGAGAGAACTTGATTTATCTTAAACCTGGTCCTATTAGAATGGCCACAAACACAAGGTCTATTTTTGAATGTTGGAATCTCTTCGTAACAGATGACATTCTAGATACCATAGTCATACATACAAACCAACAAATAGAAAAAATGCAATCACATTACGGAAGAGAACGTGATGCAAGTACAACAGATCTGCAGGAAATAAAAGTTCTAATCGGTTTATTGTACCTCGCTGCGTATAAAAAGGTTAATCACTGTCACGTGAACGAAATGTGGACAATGGATGGTACAGGATTCAAAATTGCAAGAACAGTCATGTCGGAGAGACGTTTCACCTTTTTGTTAGCAATTTTCCGATTTTATGATGAACAGACACGAGGTGAAAGACTAATGTTTGATAAATTAGCAGCAGTCCGAACTTTTTTAGATGTATTTACGAATAATTGTATAAAAAATTATAATGTATCAGAATACTGTACCATAGATGAGAAACTGGAAGGGTTTAGAGAGCGGTGCAGATCCCACCAGTATATACCAAGTAAACCAAATAAATACGGTATAAAATTATTCTTGCTGGTGAACAGTAAAACGTTTTATACGCATAATTTAGAGGTTTACTGCGGAAAATAGCCAGATTAACCCTTCTCGGTATCGAATTCTGCGGACAGTGTAGTGAAAAAATTAACTATGCCTATACTTATAAGGACCTTGAATAAGTTCTCGCTGTTTTTTTGTGAAAATTAACACTTTATTTACAAAAAGTCGTAATAAACACGTCACTGAAAGTATTGTCCGTCGCTAGCCACTACTTTCTCCTATCATTCTAGCAGCATTTGAATTCCATGTCGGAAAAACGACACGTCTTTTGAGGCTATCCAAGAATCAACCCATTTTTTGGCATCTTCATAAGAATGGAAGTGCTGCTCAGCCAGGCCATGTGCCATCGATCGGAACAAGTGATAATCCGAAGGGGCGATATCTGGTGAATACGGCGGGTGGGGTAGGACTTCCCATTTAAGCGTTTCCAAGTACGTTTTCACCGGTTGTGCAACATGTGGCCGAGCATTGTCATGTTGCAAAATCACTTTGTCGTGTCTCTGCTCATATAGCGGCCGTTTTTCCTTCAATGCTTGGCTCAAACGCATCAATTGTAGTCGATAGCGATCTCCCGTGATAGTTTCGTTTGGTTTGAGCAGCTCGTAATAAACTACACCTAGCTGATCCCACCAAATGCAGAGCAGAAGCTTCGAACCATGGATATTCGGCCTTGCTGACGATGTTGATGCATGACCGGGCTTACCCCACGATTTTCTACGCTTAGGGTTATCGTAGTGTATCCATTTTTCGTCACCTGTCACGATACGATGCAGAAAACCTTTCCTTTTCTGCCGTTGAAGCAGCTGTTCACATGTGAAAAGACGCCGTTCGACATCTCTCGGCTTCAACTCGTACGGCACCCAATGTCCTTGCTTTTGAATCATTCCTAATCCTTTTAAACGTTTCGAAACTGTTGTGTGATCAACTCCTAATGATTCTGCAAGTTCAGCTAGCGTCTGACATGAGTCTTCATGAAGTAATGCCTCTAATTCCTTGTCTTCAAACTTTTTTGGTGCACCAGATCGTTCTTTATCTTCAACATCAAAATCATTATTTTTGAAGCGTCTAAACCAATCTCTGCATGTTGTTTCCGACAGAGCATGGTCGCCGTAAGTCTCAACAAGAATTCTGTGTGCTTCAGCTGCAGATTTTTTTTGAATAAAATAGTGCAATAAAATTCTTTGCAAATACTCTTTTTTTAGCACGAAACTAGACATGTTTAACACAATGAAAAAATAAGTTGTTTACACTTTGGTGAAATAACGTATACTGAATTTCAAGGTCGCTTATTGTACTTCCTTATAGATGTGTCACCATCTAAAAATAAACACACGTGGTTCTGGTAACGGCATCTGTTGGTAAACAGCGAGAACTTATCCAAGGTCCAAGCGGCCATAATATAACTACCGATAACTGGTTCACGAGTTTCAGTTTGGCTACAGAGTTATTGGAAGACAGGTTAACGCTAGTTGGTATCATAAGAAAAAATAAAACTTCTGCAGAAATTTTTTTTCTAAATTTAAAAAATAGAAAAGTAAACAATAGTAAGTTTGCATTTACTAAAGCGATCACCTTGGTCTCATATGTGCCGAAAAAAGGAAAAAATGTATTGCTTTTGTCGTCATTACATCATAGTGAAGAAATTGATCAGGAAACAGGACTGGCGGCATAGTCAAAAATAATATCCTTTTATAATAGAACTAAAGGGGGAGTAGATACCGTAGACCAGTTAACCAGGAATTATAATTGTGTACGCAACACCAGACTATGGCCTATGATAATTTTTTACTGTATGTTAGAGCCGAGTAATTTTTTACTGTATGTTGTGGAGAGATTGCATAACACAATTCATAGGGCCTGTTATCATTCAACGACAATAAAGATGGTGAAGTCCTCTGCACCGTGGTGGAACGCAAACTTACAAAATCTAAGGGCCAGTCTCAGGAAAGAAAAGAAAAAGATGCGTAGGGAATCTGACCCTGACCGCAAGCTGGAGCTCTGAGTCACTTATATGAATCTCTTCCATAATTACAAGACTGAAATTAATAAGGCAAGAACTAACTCATGGAGAGAATTTTGCTCCAATGCAGGGGAAAATAATCCATGGTCAACCCCATTCCATCTAGAAGTCAAGAAAAAGAAAAAACTAATGATCCCCCTACCATCCAGATAAATGACGACGAATACACGACGACAATCTCAGAAACCTACAATCACATCATCAACGAGCTTTTTCCAGAAGACAACGAAACCACAGATCACCAAATTCACAGGTAAATTAGGTCTCGTGCTCTTGAGGCCTACAATAACTATAATGATTCTCCATTCACCCACACCGAAATAGATAGAGAGTTTGATAAACTAAAGCACAAGAAAGCACCCGGGCTGGACAAAATCATGGCCAAAATGGCCAAACTTGCGTTTAAGGCTATCCCAACCACGTTTAGCCTCAAAATGAACAAATGCCTACAGCTGGGGTACTTTCCTACCATATGAAACCAAGCTTCTATCAAGCTAATACCGAAATCTAGCGACAGTTCTCCTCCTAAAGCATCCAATTTTAGGCCCATTTCTCTACTTCCATTCGTTGGCAAGGTCCTTGACGCCTTAATGGTAAACAGGATCACCTACCACTTTAAAAAACACACTATTATGAATGACAGCCAATACGGCTTCAGAAGGGGCAAACGCACAATCGACGCCATTGATAATATCAAGAACTATGTCCTTAACGCCCGACAGAAAGGAATGCACAGCCTGATGATTACTATCAACTTCAGGGGTGCTTTCGACCACGCTTGGTGGCCGGTCATTTTAAACAACTTGAAGACCAATAACTGCCCAATGAATATCTATAGCCTTGCAAAAAGCTACTTACACAATCGCAGTATCATCGTGGACACGGGCAATTTCAATCTTCTACATAGGAACATCCACAGAGGGTGTCCTCAGGGCTCGAAATCAAGGCCCTATTTGTGGAATATCCTCTATAATGGACTCCTAAATCTACAATCAAATTTCCCTAAGGACTATAACGTACATCTGCAAGAGTATGCAGACAATACAGCCCTCATTCTTAGTCACGTGAACTTGAAAGTACAACTTTTCCACTTTTAAATCCTTTATTTACAAGTGCCTCGACACCGCTAGGCATAGCCGAGGTAAGAATACATAAATGTTACAGATGTAACAGGTCATTTTGTAATACAAATTTTCATAGAGTATAAAATGATACACAATATACATGAAAACATATGAACAAACAATAAACATCAATAACAATATTTACAATCACTACAGGCCGCTTGCCAGTAGTGGTAAAAGTAGGGTTAAAAGCCTTTAGATATTTTGTTACATTGTATAAAGCAACAAATAACAATAACAGCCGCCATAAGGCAATACAATAGTACATGTAAAAGAGAAAAAAAAACATATGACTTAAAAAGACATATGGAATTAAATTACAGTGGTCCTTTTAAAATATGTTTTAATAAGGTCTCTAGTGGCTTGGAACAGATTGTTATCTCCAATCAAAATACTAAGATCAGGTGGCCATCCGCAATTGTTAGGTAAAAGTGCAGTAATGCGTGCCCGCATATCGTCTAACATAGGGCATTCTAAAAGATAGTGCCGAGAACCGTCGGGAACACCGCAGATTGTACAATTCTGTTGGTTTGATATTTTAAATCTGTGGAGATACTGGTAAAACCTGCCATGGCCGGTGTAAAATTGGGTGAGGCAGTGCTCCACGTCATTCTTTACTGTATTAGAGACCAAAGGGAAAAAGTCCTTTGTTAGTGTGTTGTTATGTGTGTTCCAGCAACGTTGCCACCTGTCCTTAGCGTAGTCTTTGATTCTTTGAATTATATAGCTCTGTGGTGTTGCAGAGTATGTAGGATCGTCACAGGAAGTGGCGGCCGACCGAGCAAGTTCGTCAGCTCGCTCGTTGCCGAAGACACCACAGTGTCCTCTAACCCAGATCACAGTGAATCTGTTGTTGTTCTCTAATAAATTATTTAAAATGCAGTTGACTATTGGATGGCGCCAGTTATAATTAGAAATGGCTTGCACTGATGAGCATGAATCCGTGAAGATGTTAATATCCGTGGAGTTGAAATTGTGATTGCACCATTTTATTGCTGACAGAATTGCCCAGAGCTCAGCCTGGAAGGCAGAACAGGTGCTTCCAAGCCTATCTGAGAAAGTATATATTTCTGTGTTTCTCTGGAAAGCCACAAATGCACATCCTACTTCTTCATCGTTCTTAGAACCATCAGTAAAGATATTCAGGTTCTGTTCCAACCAGGGTTGATTATATATAAGTGGCCATTTGTTGGGAGCAACACTTGGAATTTCACTGAGGGACATTTCGATGTTGTTATAAACTCTGTTGTCAAGATCAAT